AAATATTCAAAAACGTAAAAATATATAAAACTTTTCATTTTTTATTTTTTTGCGATTACTATAACTACTCTACGGAAAGTTAGGTAAACAGTAAATGTAGGTAAAGGTTTGAAAAAATATAATATGGCTTAGTTGAAACAATGATGCAAAATTTTACACAGTTGCTTTATAAGTTCGAATGCAGTCTATGAAACGCTTCAATAGTTTGAGTTCTCAAAAAAATGGGTGAAAGTCACGACAATTACAGCTATTAATTTGCCACAATTACTGCCAGATTTAGTAATATGTGCTAAATTTCCATTTATGTACATTGAAAACTAGCACTTATATTTCTACCAAGTTTCTTTAGAGTATTGTCTATAAGAAAATATATTAAACAAATATGGAAATGATACTATCATTTTTTAGATATTTGTTGGTTGCGCGAGAAACATATAGAGGGTAATAAAATTTGTAATTTTTAAACTTTAATTTTATTCTGCAATCTATATATATTTGTATTTAGCAGAGAATGCTTACGAGTTGTTACAATTAATTGTTTAAAAATTAGTATCCCTCAGTAGCGTAGAGCTAATATAATAAAAAAAACACTAAAGACAAAAGGGGAGGAAAACAAATGAAATGTAGTAAATTGAATATTGTAAATTGAACTACATAATTATTGATAGCATGGTATAAAAAAAACATTTGATCAAACTTAATTACTTATAGAGTGTAGTTTCATCAGTCTGCTTCTATCTATCAACGTAGAAATACTGATAGTCTGACATGGAAAACATAAGAAAGATGAAAACTGAAAATCATGACACGAAAAAAAAATGTAATGAAAATTAAGTAGAAACAAGGCAAGAACGTGCCTGTTGTCTATATATTAATAATAATTATTATTATTTATATATTTAACATTTTAACAATACACACCTGGATTGTTGAGTTTGTTCATCCACCACTGGGAAATAGCTGTCTTACAGCCGAATTTGGCCTTAAAATATTTGATGTCGTATATAAAGTACTGCCACCTCCGACTAAACGGTAATTTCCAAGTGCGTTATCAACAGATGATTCTTTCTGCCGTCCTTTCTTCTTCAACCGGTTGTCGTTTCAGGTTCGATGAAGTCTCGTCATCGCGGTCCTCGGATGTTCCATGGAGGGTATTGTCATTTTCTTCGAAAAATCGAACTGATCTACGACTTGCATTATCGTCATCGGAACAAAAACTAGTAGCATCCTCCTGAATTACATAAAAACATATAATTATATAAATAAAAACATAAAATTATCTGAGAAATTTCTAATGAAATAACGCATTACTATAGTATTGATGTATAAGTTCGGTTACTTTTAAGGCGACTCTAAACAAATGAACCAATAAGTAAATAAATAAGTAATTTTTTTCATGAAAATGTTTGTGTATACTTAATATTTATTGCTTCAGAGACAATTTATGCTAAACAATGATGAATAAACTACTAATATTTGTTATTATGCATTACATTGTATAAATATTAGAGCAAACTAAAAAATAAATTTACAATGTTAAATTACTTTATCAATACAATACAAATTTTAACTAGCTGTAAGTGGAATTCTGTCTTGAGGCAATTATGGCATCGTGTCTTAAGGCAAATTGCTGGTGAACTTCCCGTTGAATACTGATATATAATATAAAATAATAAAATAAAATCTGAAATATTTTCGATATAAAAAAAAATAAAAAAAAAAAAAAAAAATGGGACAAAATTTTTTTTCCCAAAATCAATTATTTTGTTAAGACAAGCTGAAAGTTCTTTGAATCATTTAAATCGGACGCTTAGTTCTCTCAAAAACTGCAATTTTTTACATATTTAGCTCCGTATCTTTGAAATGGCTGGGCCTGCTTTTGCCAAAAACTAATAAACACTTCTCCCAATCGTTACTAATTGAATGTTTTTAGATCATTCAAATCGGATACTCCGTTCTCTCAAAAAATTCGTTCTATTTTCTGCACTCTTTGCTCCGTATCTCCGAACCGGCTGGACCTGCCTTTGCCAAAAACTAATCAGCTCTTTTCCCTATCAATAGGAATCGAATGTTTTTGAACCATTCAAATCGGTTGATCCGTGCGTCCTAAAACGTGACTGGAAATTGTATCCATACATACATACACACACACACACACACACACACATCCATTTTTTCTGAGGTATGCCAAAACGTTCAGAAACCTTCAAAATGTCGAGAAATGTAAAAATTTTCAATTCCGATTTTCGGCCCATTACAATAACTTACCCTACGGGAAGTTAATAATAGCATTTTTTTTTATGATCTATTATATAAATAACCTTCCATAAAATTTTCAAATTTTAGATTCAAGATAAATATATCAGTATTTAAAATAATGACATTGCACATACACACACAATTACATTGAATTGAATTTTGAATAAACTTTCTTTGATTTGGCTAATTTGACTTGATTAATAATATAATTTGATAACAAAGTTTTTATTTTAGAATATATAATTTGCATTCATGAATTAATATTAAGAACATAATATTTTAATGAATTTATACAAATACGTATTATATTAGGTATGATGAATTATGATGAAGATAAACAAGAATCTGAGCGATATTTCCGATATAATATTATTTTATGTATGTATTGTTTTCATATTTTGTTCTAAAATAATTATTATGTATAATAATATTTATATGTATGTTTATAATTGTATTTTTTAAATGAATAAATAAGCATCAAAATTTTATACTGAATGTTTTCTGAATAAAATGAAAAGATCATATTTTAAATCTGATCATAAATATGCAACTCATATTTTTCATTTTATATTGACAAATTATCCAATATTTTAATTATTGTGATATCCTATACAACATGTATGTAAAAACATTTTTTAAATAAAGTTATTTTTAAATTCAAATTTATGGAATCATGATAAATTTAATAGATCACACAGTGTGATAATATAAAGCGTCACCTATTAAATAGTGTGAATCACACTATTTAATAGGTGACCATATTTTTTTAGCTCTCCATAAAATCTCCGAATAGTAGAATCAGGATAAAATATATCTTCATTTAAAATGATTATATTACGTACATACACGATCATCACACACACTTACATTGAATTGAGTTTTGAATAAACTTTTTTGATTTGGCTAATTTGACTTATTAATATATAATTTGATAACAAAGTTTTAGAATATTTAATTCGCATCCATGAATTAAATTATGAAGAGAATATTTTAATGAATTTATACTAATGCGTATTATATTACGTATTAAGATTTATGATGAAGAAACAATAATATGAACGATATTCTCGATATAATATTATTTTACGTATGTATTGTTTTCATATTTTGTTCTAAAATAATTATTATGTATAATAAAATTTATGTGTGTGTTTATAATTGTATTTTTTTAATGAATAAATGATCATCAAAATTACATTCTGGATGTTATATTATATTATATAAAATGAAGAGATAATATTTTAAACCTGATCAACTCATATATTTTCATATTATATTGAAAATTGAACAAAATTTTAATGATTGTGCTACCCTATACTACATGTATATGAAATCTTTTTTTTAATTAAGTTATTTTCCAATTTAAATTTATGGAATCATGATAAATTATTAGATCACGCTATTTAATAGGTGACCATATTTTTTAAATTGAACCGGGACAGCAATTTTTAATTATGAAAATCCGTGACTGATGGTGTTTTAGTTAAGGTAATAACAAATGCTATTAAGGATATAATAAAAAAACAGTTTCCTATATTAATATTTTTTTAATGAGAATTGCGGACTTTTAGTGAGAACTTTATTATTCTATTAAATGGAATATTTCTTTATATATGATTATTATATTATACCTTATATTTTTCAATCTAAATGTTTTCTTCGCTTTTGATCCTTGTATAAAAATCTATCCAATTTTCTTCATAATTAATTTGACAAAAATAATATTTGTTCATTTTTTTACAATTTTTGTTAATTTGCCTATTAGTTTTCGAAATAACCGGAAAGAAAGATTTAAATTCGGGACAAATATTATTTTTAGACAAACCCGGGATACAAGGTAGCAATCTGGGACTGTACCAGCCAAACCGAGACGTATGGTCATCTTACATTTAAAAGAAATAAAATGGAGAGGCTACTTTATGATACACTTATTCAACTGCTTTCAAAAAGCAATTAATATATGAAGCATTAATATTTGGTAGTTGTAGTTAATTTAGCGAATAATATGCGACATTTTTTATATGCTTTCAATCTATATCAATTTTTTTGAACATATATAATATATATAATTTATTTAAGAGTTTTTATATATATTTTTTTGTTTTAAAAAATAGTGGAGTAAATTTTGAATTTTTTTAAAAAAACGCTTTTATTTTTTTTTCATCACCACAAAAAGTTAAAAAATGACAAATCTATAATAAAAATACGATAAAATAAATAAAAATATAGATTTTTCAAAGCGCAATATTGAAACGTATTTTTTCATATAAAAGCTTTAATCGGTTATCATTCTAACAAGATAACCATCAGGTTTACTCTTCTGGGATTTTGATGAAACTTAGCATAGTTGTAGAGTTGGCTGTCAAACCGAACACCTTTAAATATTAGAGTCCTATGAGAAGTGGTTTAATTAAAAGAAATTAAATAAAAATGTGTCGAGATAGCCGAGTGGTTGCCGCGCTTACTTTCCCAAATGTCTATGTAACACAACAGCCAAATGTCTATGTAACACAGCAGCATTTTTAAAGTGTGCTTACTGCAATACATTTTTATTTTTTTCATGCTTTTATGATAAATATCATCCAGCAAATTATAAGCCTTGAAGTTTTTATTTTATATTATTTATTTATGTTTGATATTTTGATAGATTAATTTAAACAGATATCATTTATAAAAAATATTTTATTTTATTTTATTTTATCAATATGCATTGCAAATATATTTATTTTCAGAATGCTTTCATAAATATCTACTATTATAAATTTCACATATTTGTGTAGTACATGTAACAAATTAATAATTATTATTATAATATTTAACCAAATAGATGTAAAAATAAATAAAAAAAATATTCTGGCGGAATTCGAACTGGCGACTATGAGCCTAGGCCTCGAACAAAAAGTTGAGAATAAGCGCCGCAACCACTCGGCTATCTCGGCACATAGATATGAAGCGCAACGCGCGGAGATATAGGGCCTAGCGCATTATTCGCAGTTTTAATCAATTTTTATTTAATTTTTATAATTAAACTGCTTCTAGGGACTCTAATATTTAAAGGTGTTCGGTTTGACAACCAACTCTACAACTATGCGAAGTTTCATCAAAATCCCAGAAGAGTAAACCTGATGGTTATCTTGTAAGAAGTTTTTCTCCGTATTTCGAATCAGCTCGAAATCAATCGAATATATTTTTTACTGGTAGATACTATATAACAAATTATGATACATATATATGATACATACACACACACACACACATATATATATATATATATATATATATATATATATATGTAATTATATTATTATATAAACATACCTGTGGTAAATCGCTGGTGCTTTTCCACAGCCTTCCACCTTTCAATATTCCATTCAACGAAGCAGCCACTGCATCCACGTTCGATGTAACATTCGCCGCTCCTGATGAATTCATCGTGGACGAATCCGTAACATCAGCCCCAGCAGCAGCGGTAGAGTTCCTATTGCCTGCATCTGCGGAGGCCTCTCGGACTATTCGCCTCTCGGTAACTGCGGTCATTGTGACTGTTTCAACAATATAGCGCTTTGATTTAGTTTCTAGAAAAGAACAACGTCCGCAGACAAAAATACCCTTCGTTAGGTACAAGTCTCGACGTAATCTTTCTACTTAAGAAATTAACCATTTGAAAAAGACTTTAACGAAAATGTAACTAAGCATGATATCAAAAGTAACAAAAGAAATATTTCGTGATAATAAATAGTAAGGTGCGTGCGCACAATAAAGCTAATAGGCAGTAAAGCATAAATGGTAAAAAGTAATTTCTATAAATGCTCCAACATTTTTTTACGGCCCTTTATCACGTTGAAGAGGGATTTAAACAGTACAAGTAACGCACTAAATCCTGATAAGAAATTTTAAACGTAATATATTTAATATTTTGTCTTTTTCTGTTTCAAATTTATCTATGTACATGTTTCTATAATGCCACAATATTTTTTATTTACAGCATTTATAAGTAAATACACACTAGTATGAAATTAGTGGCTCTAAAACAATAAAAAATAGAATAAAGATCAAATGATAATTTTAATAATGATATAATATTTTCATTATGTATATATTTTTCACAAATATGATTTGTTTTTTTTCGCTGTAATTGAAAAATGACTGGTTTATTATAATATAGATCAATTTCCTGTAAGACTAACTGAGAAATTTTAACTGTAATACTAACTGAGATCTACAAGAATATAATTTGCTTAATTCAATAATCATGTCAATACAATTTTCGATAGATTTATAAACTAGTTGGTTTGGTATGTAGCCTTGAGGCAAGTTACATGAACTTTCCGATATGTTTACTTAATCAATAAAAAATAAATTAATTTATGAGTCATTAAAAGTATTCCGAGTGGATTTATTACACAAAATTGAAAACGAACGAACACTTTGAGTATTTGAGTATTTTCTAAAAACAAATTTTCAAAAATCAATCGTTTTTATAATAGAGCCAGTTTTTTGTAAGACTTTAATTGTTTAGTATGTTCATTAAGACCCAGTACTATCATCGTTATACCAAGTAAATCCTCTAATTGTAATAATAAAAAATGTCAAAATTATTTCTCAAACTATGATAAATTTTTAAAATTATACTACTTGTCGTAAGGCCGTAATATTTCAGTAAGTTTTATAAGACCCTGATATATATCGCCAAAAAAATACCATAAAAAATGGGCTTAAATTTTTTTTTCAACAGTTAATTACAAAAAGACGGCTCGGTAGATTTTCACCTAAAACTAATCAGTAGCATTCCCAACGAATATCTTTCGAACAGTTTTTGATTTTTTAAAATCGATTCGGTAGTTTGAGCTTAAATGTGGCAGATCGTCTCACGTAACTGACAAACGATAGTCCTCATTGAGATACATCAAATGGCTTTTAAATTTCTGAAATCGGTTCAGGCGTTTCTGAGAAAACGTTGATCAAAGGTCTAATTTTGACAAATGCCAAAAGAACGATACTAATTTTTGCAAACTTTGATGAATTTTTAAAGCTAAACGAGTTGTCGTAGGGCCGTAATATTTTAGTATGATCTAGAAGACTATGGTATCTACTGTCAAAATAATAATAATAAAAATCGCCGATTTTTTTTTAAACTTTATTACAAGAAAACGGCCCGGCCGATGTTTACCAAAAACTAATCAGCACGATTCCCAACCAATATCTTTCGAACGGTTTTTGAATTTTCAAAATCGATTAAGAATTGCGGACTAAAACGTGGACTAAAAATTTTTCACTTTTCTGCGATTTACAAAGAAACGGCTTGGCCGATCGTCACACAAAACTGGGAAACGCTAGCCCTCATCGAAATACATCAAATGGCTTTTAAATTTTTGAAATCGGTCCAACCGTTTTTGAGAAAAAGACGATTTACGACAAAAAATCTGTTCACATACACGCACATACACACATACACATACTTTTTCCAAATTTGGTCTCATTCGATTTAGAATGGCTTGAAACGTCGAGAAAACATAAAATTGGCAATTCGGATTTTTTTATGAAAACATAAGCTTCTCCTTCGGGAAGTTAATGACATGGTTGTCAAGAAGAGTAAAAAACATAATTTAAGATAGGACCCAAAAGAAAGAAAGGTAAAGTATGTTTTTACGAACAAGTTTACATTATTGCATTGAGACAATAACATGATCCGTAGACCGCATTGCTTTTAAAGAGTCAAAAGTAAGATATTTTGTTTGATTTCTTCATTCGATACAGGAGCAACCATTCATATGTAAACTCATAGAGATTTTGAATTTTTAGGAAAAATAATAATGATAGCAAAATTTAAAATATCATGAAGTCGATGTAAATGCAGTTATAATTAAACCGTAAATTCATTCTAAGCACATTGAAAATATTATGTTTAATTTCAAAGCGAGAGCAAAATTATTTACAAACACACAGTAAATTGTTTGCATTGCTTTCCAAGTCTATTGGTCACTATTTACTAACAGAAGTATAAAGAAATTGTTCGCATAGCAACATTATATCGTCATATATATTTTACTTCAACTAGTACCTATATGAAACCCTCCAGGGACCAAAGTCATCAATTTAAAATATAATTACATGAAAAATGAATTTCATATCATTTTTATGGTTTGACATATTAGAAAGAAGTCTTATTCAAACGTTAGTGAACTGCTAATAAAGATATAATTTTGATAGTATTATAATGTACACAATTTATATAAAGCATATAATTATCGAGTTAAATGGTGGGAAGAGGATAAAACTCAGATCAAAGTCAGTGTAAAGTAGATGTAATTTTCATGGTGTGAGAAAGTTTTATTTTACATCATTATCGGTTTTTATTTTCATTTTTATAAAAATATAAATATTTTTAACAATGAAATGTGTAATATTCTTGTTGTCTCGCAGTAGAATGAATCGACTTGGCAGATTTGGTTCGATTTTTTTGGAAATCATTTCTATAAGATTAGTTTTTGTTTTAATATACGTAATCAACTAAAGTTTAAACTTGGAAGTTTTTATAGAAGCTTTCGATGTTAAATTAAATGATCTTTGAATTATATTAATGGTGCAAAGGTGTCACAAATTTACTTTACCATAAAGAACAATATTGGATTTTCTCTCGATAAATCAATATTGATCTTATTTGCTCTTCCAGTTGTTCATGTATCCGTGACTCCCATTTAATACAAATGCAGATAGATATTATTGAGTTATTAAGCTGAAGAGGTGGATTGTTATGATGTTTTAGCCTAACAATTTTAGGTAATGAGATTAGTAAATATTGATTTTGATATTGCATTTTGAAACCCATAACTCAAGTACAGACAAATAATTTTGAACCAGCTAATTAGCATTTGCAATATCTGCATAATTTGGAACATAGTTATGCCATATAATAGACATATTTATGTTTGAAGCTTGTTCGAATAAACGAATTTTGAGATTTAAGGGCAATGTTATAGTAAGGCTGGGTTACGTGTCATTTTTCATATAAAATGATACCAAAAATTGTCAAAATACTGGGTGGTTGTTGTGCTGTCAAGCGTTTAAATATAAAGCCTAAACTAGAAATCACTCAAAGGTAAAAAAAAATCGCACCTTTCCCATGTGTCTTAATAACATATGAGTGAAGTTACATTTAAATACATAGCATTTTGACAGTTATTAGTACCATCTTAAATAAACAGATAACATTGCATAACATTTTGGTCTATTTTACGGCAGAATTATCCCCGTAATTTAGATAATTCAAATGTTTTTCTGAAATCAGTCTCTATAGGATTGTGTCTTTTTAGTTTCTATGATAAATGGTATTTGTATTATAAACGTCATTATAATGTATTTATATTGGTATTGTACATGGTACTAGTATTATATGGTATTATAATATATTTACATAAAATTGAAAGTGTTCGTTTAGTGTTTTTCAAATATTATAAATAGAAACTGTGTAAATAATAGTATTCTTTTTTAAGATTATTTGCTAGTTTTTTGATGGTTGAAATGAAAAATTTAAGTTAAACTTAAAAAAACATTGTATCCAAGCAATTCAAGTCTTTTTATAAATATTCGTATTTGGTTTTATAAATATTCAATATTAACTTGGAGTAATAAATGTTAAATTGTCTTAATACTGCAAATCATTTTTCCTTTTTATATCACATTTTAACATCTATGCAACATTAAAGTACTTATACCTACATAATTTCGTAATATATGAAAAATAGCTGGTTTTGCTTGATAAAAAAATTAAATTACTTGATGTAACACTTTTTTTTATTTTTTATCAATTATATGTGGTACATCGATTTAGAAAATTTACAGTTGCTATTATTTTCATCAATCACATTAGTCAATATAAATTCGCATTATTTGCAAAAAAAATTCAATACATTTCCATTTCTTGAAATGAAACTAGTTTAACACTCTCTCTAATGATGTTAATTATCATAATAATATATTAATAACAAGAGTAAATCATTAGTAGAAATTGAAGTAGAATAGCTGTTACAATTTGTGATGTGAAATGATATTAAATGAACTTTCACAAAATGAAATAATAAAGATTCCCAACGGGAAAGTGAAACGCATTTAACACCGTTATATTTATATATTTTTTAATAAAGAACATTGAAGAGATGTAATATTAAGCTTACAAAGTCTATTTACGGTTTGATGTTTCATTATTATATAATGATTAATAAAATGTATTTTAAGTTTAATTACTTGCGCTAATTTACACAAATTGCTATGTTATTTTTAAAAATATCATATCCAAGGTAATTAAGTATATAATAAAACATTAATTAATTTATAAGAAATGATTAATATTTTCTTTCTTGCACACCCATATACAACCCACGCGTATTTTAGTTGAATGTCAGAGGTTATGGACTGTTAATGAAAACCTTTCTCAAAAGTAACATAACACATATCTGTTTTCCTGCTGATTAAATTATATTTTAAAAATAATTCTGATAGAATTTTTGCATAGAAGATCCAAAATTTATCAATATGAAATATA